TTGATTTTCTATGGAAATTAGTTAATCTACAGTTTTAGAGGTTTTCATGTGTCCTAATGTTTTTTCCTGACCTCACTCCCATCACTTGGTGAAAGTGAAAGTTCATTCTTTCAAATGAACGGGGCAGTGATAAAACTATTACCAAGAAATGCAAATAAAACAACGCAATAGAGGCCTATTTCTGGTCTAAACATTAAAAAAAAAGTAAGTTAACCATTGATTTTTAATAAAGGAGGCCACAATTTTCTCAGACCATGACGTTAAATGTGCTACGTATTCTGGTGGGAAGAATAGCCAAAGCCACACTCTGATTTAAGGAGTCCAGTTTCGCAAGGTTGTAGCCTAAGTATCCTCCCCCTGCAGGCGTATTTAACTGGCTGGGCTCTTTGAAGCCACTTGTAGCGGATCTGTCCTCCAACGGAAATACACCGCAGAGAAACACCGAGTTAACGGACACATGACACGGAGGAATTCTTCTTCTGGGGAATTTTATTTTTTTACATAAGCCTATAATTTGTCGATTTTTTTATTCTATTTTATTGTATGTGTATAAACGTCACTTAAGTAGAGAACCATGTTACGGACGCACCAACTCTTCCTATTAATATTAATCTCCACCTCAGGTAAGCCCTCGTGTGTTTGTTTGTGTGCTGCTGACGGGTTTATTTGAGATAATATACCTACAATAAGTAGTCTATAGAAAATATAGCTATTTCTACAGGTGATCGCAATTGTATTTTGACTAACCCGGTGTTAATGTGACTTGCGCCGTGGATATGTTTTTGTTTTAAGGACCATGGACAGTCTCGAGTGCTGGACAAACGCGAACATTTTTAGTTTTTTTTTTATTATTTACTTATGTTGGTCTCTGTTTGTAAAGACAAAACTTTTGCCTGTCGAAAACGTGAGGCACATTTGAATGGTTCCGTGGAAGACTTGCATGGGCACAAAATAGTTTTCCCAGCCTATCTGATTTTGAAGCGGAATAAATGAAATAACATTGTTAAGACTCAACTTAGTAATCTAACAACCTAGACGGCATTTATAGTCATGATATATCAGCGTTGTCATTTGCTAAGTCAGTTTAACCTCAATAATAGCCTATAGATACTTTTAAGACTAAATAGCCACTGGCGCTGAATCATTTTACAGAGTTGTCAACTATAAATTAACGTGCAGTGTGTTGATTTCATGTGAACATTCATATGAAATGTCATATGGCGTCATCTGTATGACGCCAAAGGATGAGAATGTGTTGTTAAATTCACATGACCACGTTGTTCCTCTGATGAAGCTTAAAACATACCGTAGACTATTACGAGCAAGTGTTTTAAAATATAGATTAAGTATTGAAAGGTTAATATTAGTAGTATTGTTTCTTTAAAGATAGCTTTTTCCATCATAAAACATGATCACATGCAAATAAGTCATTGGTCACATTTGTGGTCTGTGGGAAACAGAGACTCGTTTTGAATAAGTAGCCTAACTGAACGATTCACTTTATAAAATTGAAACAAGCAATAGCAATAATTTATCCCCTTTATTCAATTTTGATTATTGCCTAATAGTAAAAGAGTAAATGTAAAAATTAAGTACACCTACAGGATTTATTGTACATGAAAAGAATGAAAGACATTCAACACTGTCTTTTAAAACAATAGAGAAAATGTTTCCTTGTAATTCTATCATGAAACACAATATTGAAAAGATATTGAGTTTATTTTATTTTCAAGTGTGCAGTGTTTTTTTTTTTTAAACATCTGTTTAATTTGAGAATTTTGTGTGGTGTGAGGGTTAGTCTGTGGTGAGTCACACACAGTCAGACATGCTTCGAGACTCTCCAGTGTTCATTCACGCACACACACTTGGTTGTAAGTGAGCACTCCTGTGGATTTACTTCAATCTAATCCTTTATTTTAGCATACAACAGAAGTAGGCTATCAAATATCATATCCTGTTCCATTCAGGATATGTGCTTTGACTCTCGCAGCCTTAATACTCACTGTGTGTGTGTTTGTGCGTGTGCGTGTGTGTGTGAAGTTCTGTAGTAGAGGAATAGCCTGTGGGTATGTCCTGCCTTTCTGTCTGGCACCAAATCCAGCTGTGTCCTACCGGGGGACCTGTCAAAGAACAGAGAGCAAGTTAAAGAGAGAATGTCTGGATGGCAGATAGATGGCAATATGTCAAATGTGAGGAAAATGACAAACATGTGTGTGTGTGAGAGAGACAGTATTTATATTTATCTTCCTTATATGTTCAGCAACCCGTAATCAAGATGCGTATCATATTACTGATGGAGGTTTACTGAGGTTCTGCTGAGGATTTCATGCCCAACATATATTATTTACAGAATTTGCATAATATTGTATACATTACAGGCATTTGAATCATTTACACATTTAATCATTTCATTCAAAAAAGCGGATTCATTAGAGAACTAGTGACGGTGTGAATGAGTCATAGAATCAGCTGAGCAGATTCGTTAAACAAATACCACTAAAGTGTGCTGCTAAAGTTCTGAGGTGGCTTGTTAGGGACTTTTTTCGGTTCATGAAAAGCAATATTGTGTCTAAAATGTAAATTATTCAGTATTAACTTCTTGTTTATTGAACTCTTTTATATGAACAAAAAACCATGTCAGAATTTTGCAGTGTTGTTGATGTTTTCAAATGAGTAATGAGTCTTGAACAAACCTTCCGACCAAGCAATTTCAGATCATGTATCTATAGATATAATAAAGTAGCTCTAGATAAAACTGGGTCTTAGTTTTCTCTTGTTCATTTGTTTGCTGCAATAGTACATGCAACAGTAAGAATAATATATGTTAATAATATAATAATTTTAAAAAATAGCCTATATATTTTTATTATTATTATTTTTGTAAATTATGTTATTGGGTCCTCTGAGGTCTGATTAAGTGAGGCTGGGAAGATTGTGGAATAAAGCCTTTGTTTCAGAGTGTGCTCTAATCCCGGCAAAGTGCTGTGATGCTAATCTGGCCGTCTGAGGGATAAAGAAGCTCTCTAATACAGTCAATATAGTTAATTAATGCTGTGTGCTCTCTAAACTAACCATACGCTTCACCTAAACCTACAAGGAGTTCTCTTCTCTTCTCTTCTCTTCTCTTCTCTTCTCTTCTCTTCTCTTCTCTTCTCTTCTCTTCTCTTCTCTTCTCTTCTCTTCCATTGGGATTAGAGGTTGTAAATCTGCCCCTTTAATTAGACAGCATACGCTGACTGTGTTTTAATTGGATATGATTGAGTGTGAGTTTGTCTAGTGTGTTCTAGCACAGAAGTGCTTCTTCAGGGAACCATCTGTTACGGGCCTTTAAAGCTTTGTAAGCCTTTGCAAGAGAGAGTAAGGGAGAGTATGGCATTATAATGTCTTGTTGTGTCTATGGCAAAATCAACCAATTTTACACAGAAAGAGGAAGTGTGGTTAAGGAAGATGAAGTGCATGGGGAACTTTATCTAAAACAAGTATTTAGCACTTGTGCTATTTGTAAATCAAAGCTACTCTAAATTTGTACATTTTCTTAATAAAACGCATGTGGGTGTTGTTGTGAATGGTAGGTTGTTGCTTAATGGTTTATATGTTTTTTTGTTTGCTAGGGTGTTGTAGGTTGTTATTTAATTAGTGACGCTGTTAGAGAAGTAATGTTACGCCCTTTTGCCCAACAAGCCACTGTATTTGAGTCAACATTCATATCCGGAGCATGTTCTTAACTTAGAGGTCTGATAAAATATATGATAGTATGATGACATGGCTTGAAATTCTGCAGTCTGTGTTATTTTAGTATTATTTATGTACTGATATAATTAATAATACTTTGAATTAGCTGTTAAATTGATATGTTTGTGCCTTTGCCTTTGTCTTTTTTCTTCTTTTTATATTTGTAATTATCTTTAATTATTTTTATTTAAGTGATAGTTTTAACAATTTGAATATCCCAAACTTATTTTTCAAATTTTTAAGTTTTTCCATCTAATATTCATATTTTATTTTATTTCAATTCACAAAAAAAATAAAATAAAAAGATTTTCTGATTCTGATTGCACCAGAAAGGAACCCTAGAGGTCACGTAACTCCAAATGCTACTGACATAATGATTACAGATAAGGCAGTGTGAAAGAGGAACATACTGAGTATGGAAGAACATGTCCGTGCCATAAGAGAGAGAATAGAAAGTTAAGAGGAACAACAGTTTCATGGCTCGGGATTTAACAATATTAGTGAGGAACGGTAACTTAATATGTCTACTGATCACACGCAAGTTTCTGTGTGTTTAAAAGTAATATTTGTTAATTATTTGTACGTTTGTTAAGTATGGTAGAAGGGGTATGTATCACCACCTCTAGGGAAATGTAAACAGTTTGGTCATGTCACTGTAAATATTTAGAAAAGGCTTTTTTTGCCAGATACTATTGGTGCTCAAATGCTTGTACTAATGGTACCAGTAATACATTTTATGATATGAGAAGTCATATTTTTGTGACCCTCTCATAGATGACATCTTATCATTCCAGTTGATGGAATACATCCTAAATATAACTAGGTATATTATTATCTCATTTATCCTGACAATACAAATCGTCCATACCTTTTTTGTCCATACAAATTGAAGTCAATATAACCAAAACTGTTTAAAGGTTGTGTGAGTAAATCATGTGTAAGCAAATCATGAGAAAATTTTTATTTAATCTTCAATCTTTAAGTAAAAAAGGCACAACATATACCACCCCACCTCATAAACCATGCAAAGTTGAAAATGTGTCTACAACATCATAGCATTGCATTGTGTTCAGGCTGCTGTGCAGTTCATACTCACACCCTGGAAAAAGGGAAGGGTGCAAAATGCCAATGTCAGTTCTCTTTCCATAGTTGTTCAACAAACATAACATGTCCTTAAGAGACACAAAATCACTTTCACAGACCTTAACCTGAACTGCAAGCTGGTGGACTGACCTGTCTTACCCAACCCGAGCTGCTGAGTCTTCAGCCATTCGTAAGAAACGGCTAAAGACGCATCTTTTTCGACAATACTTGACCCATTAATACTAACACTGACTATTCTATATCAGAAAATAACACCATGCTACGTGTGCTGTGCTGAACTAACTGGGACTGGTCACGGCATTTACATATTGTTGCCTTATGTTGGTTTGATTGCTTCTATTCCTCTCCTCATACAAATTTTGTAAGTTGTTGTTTGATTAAAGAGTCTGCTGAATGATTATATATATATATATATATATATATATATATAAAGGCATTTTACTTGTGAACTGATGTTCAGTTATTTTCAATTGTCAACTTATTTTTGCGTCATCAGTCTTCAAGCTCAGTAAACAGTGGCCACAGACATCATGATGTAGGCCCACCTTTAATTTCACCAAGCTGATTGCTCCCCCACAGTCCCCACATATTTTCGGGCCATTTCACCTTTGATATTGACGTGACATAAAGCGGTGATAAGTGTGTGAGTTGTTTACTTACTTTTGAATTAGTCTTCTCATTAATTTGTTCATTAAGACTAATTGGCAAACACACACAAAAGCAACAGGGAGCAATATCACACTAATCAATCATAACCAATCACATCCAATCGTAGCTTTATGGAGGCATTGCCTTTTCTCACATGACTTTCCCCCTTTTTCTCAATTACCCCCCGCCAAACCCACCACATAATTTAGGTGGTCTGTTAACTCGGTATTGGCTCAGTGGCCAGTGGGCATTGAGAAAATAGCTGTGCTGTGCCCTATAGAGAATGATGTTGGGGGATAATTGATTGGATATGATTGGTTTGTGCTATAAATCCCGCTTCTTGTTTTTGTGTGTGTTTGCGAAACAGACCCGTCAGTCAGCACCATCTAGACAGATGACAGAATTTTGTTTATTTGTTAGGTATATTAATGTACAATATAATCTAACATAATCTAATATAATCTAATGACTACAGATCTGTTCTAGCTTAAACAGTACTATTGACACTGAACAAAAGCATATTTGATTCAAACGTCAAAGGCTAAATACATACAAGGATTTATAATTTTAATTAAACTATATTTAACATCTCATTGTCCAAAAAACAAAACTCAGCTTTGGCTAGTGACAGGGACGAAGTCCCTTTTCTTACTTAACAAAAGGTTTTAATTGAGCCATGGAGTGAATGGAGGAGATGATTAAACAGAGAGAATAGGCAATCAGTGTGTGTCAGAGAAAGTCAGACATGGTTTTTGGTTTGGGTTTTCATTTACATTTATTCATTTAGCAAACGCTTTTATCCAAAGTGACTTACAAATGAGAACAATAGAAGCAGATAAACTAACAGTAGGACAAAAACATTAGTGCTATGACCCCTCTCAGTTTAATTTAACGCATTTTTTAAAGAATAGAATAGAAGAGAAGAGAAAAAAGAAAGTGTTAGTATCACTTATTTTATATTATAAAGATTTTAGCAGTTTCTTGAACGTGGCTACTGATTTAGAAGCTCTGGTTGAGTTAGGAAGATCATTCCACCAGCAAGGAAAGAGAAAAGAGATTTTGTGCCTTTTTTGAGATGGTACCACAAGACGACATTCCCTTGCAGAGCGCAAGTTTCTGGATGGCACAGAAGTCTAAATAAAGTATTGAGTTTAGGTAAGAAGGAGCAGTGCCAGTAGCTCTGTAGGCAAACGTCAGGGACTTGAATTTAATGCTAGCGGCAACTGTGAGGAGAGGAGTGACGTGTGTTCTCTTCGGCTCATTACGAGAATGAGAAGGTTACATGTGTTTTTGTGAGCCATAGATGATTGTGTGTGGGTGTGTGAATGTGTGTTTATCTGTGGGAGGAAGAGGTGAAAGCAGTTCACAGTTTCCAGGTCTTTCTGCTGCCTGGCGTCAAGTTTTCTGCTTTGAAGCAGTGAGCCACGACTGCAGAAGACTTCAGCCTTGAGGCATCTCAGATCAACCCCCACGTTTCACTTTTTCACACACATAACCCATCTTATTTAGTTTCTCTTACACTGTCTGCCCCTAAGTGTGTATGTTTGGTATAAAAATGTAATTTTGGCTTTATATCTTACACTTAAGCATTGCCACATAGTTCACAAATCTAGTGTGTTTCTGTGTGAGAGGGAGTGGATAAGCTCCAAGGTTCTGTGTGTACAAGCTTCAAGGTCATTTTATACCTGCCACACACAAATACACACACACTTTAATTCAGAAATAGAGGTCCTACTGTACATAGCAATAGTGGAATTTGGTTAGAGGACAGGGTGTTGAGACATTGGCTACTCTGGTAACAGGACAGAAGCAACTTGCCTTCCTTTGACCTGAATGAATGCTGTAGTTGAATAATGTGACCTGAATAATCATATCCTGTGAGTGTTCTCAGCAGAGTAGTATTCATTTATTAGATGATTAACTGTAGTTGACCTTCAAGTTACTGACATTACTGTTTCTTCTTAAATATCATAAATATAGTAATTCCTATTGTATTATTCTACATTTAAAACAAATCAAATATATGTTTATAATTCGGTTGATTCTAAATTGTTTGTTAATGTATTTGTTTTGTTGTTAGGGTTAATTCACCCCAACCAGAAAATTGTCATTAATTACTCGCCAATATTATGTTGTTCCTAACCTTGTATAAGACTTGTATTTGAGAGCTTTCTGCCCTCCATTGACAGCTACACAACTACCACTTTCAAGTCCCAGAAAGGCAGTAAAGACTTTGTTAAAGTAATCCATGTGACTCCAGTGGATTAACCTCCATTTTATGAAGCGACTAAGTGCCTTGTTTGTGCCAAAAAAAAACAACATAATTTACTACTTAATTTACAAAATATTAATATTCAATATGTTTACCACTACCTTTGAGTTGAGAGTCCTATTATTAATAAAAACAAAAACTGTCTTTGTAATCTTTATTTAAAATGTATTATTTTCCTTTCCGCTGATGGCAGTTGACCAATAGCCAAAAATTAACTTAATTTAATATTTGTACTGCAAAGCTTTATGTAATTGTTTATACGTTTTCGCTATTTTTTAATTTATATTTTTGTTTATAGACATTTTATTGTAAAGTCCACTGGAAATAAATGAACAATTTGATGTTCATTGATATTATTTAAATTGACAGAAATAAAACAAAAATATGAACCCCTTGCTATGCAGACCAGACCACTACCCTTAAATAAGAGATCTAGAAAAAGTTCAATTAACTTAGTAAATTCCACTAAGATGACATCTGACCTGACCTGACCTCTGATCTGGTCAGAAGTAAAGTCTTATGTGCTCTTTGACCCAGACAGCCTCTACCTCATTCAGACTTAGTTTTCTAGTGATGCTTTGAGCTAGACCTGGACCTTACGTAACCCACTCATCTCTTTTGTGTCTGGAACGGATTAGCAATTAGTAGGCTAATCACCCTGAATCATGCACTGCCCTTGGGAGAACACACAAGATGAATTATAAATGTGATTCTTTAATATATAGACCATTTCACAAGATGTAAACAACACTGGTCCAGAAGCACTTCCTGTTTCAGTTTTTTAACACTACATAAAAGCTGGGATAAAATACAACCAACAGAACATTTAAAACTGAATCAAAAAGTTAAACAAACACCTTTAAGATGTTTTCTTTACATGTGAAATGAAGAAAAGAGTTACAAACTGAAACAGGAAGTGCTTCTGGACCAGTGTTGTTTACATCTTGTGAAATGGTCTATATGTACCTTTGTGGAGTCTGGTGGTACTTAAAATATATATTTAACTTTTGTGAGTATCCATTATGTTTTCACTTTTTGACCACACAATGTGATAAACTATGAAGAGAAACAGGTGTTTCTGATTTGAGCATAGTGCCTTTGAGTCTGGTGGATTTTTACTTTTAAAGAAGCCTCTTAAATCTTCTGGAAATGCAGATTGCAGAACTGCTTATGTGATAGTGAATGTCTATCAGCATCGAGCTTTGTTAGCTAAAAAGACCTGCACCCTTTTTTAGATATCAATGTAGTATCCATCTATATCTATATATAGCGTTTGAAAAACTACTTTGTTTCAATTTAATTGATTTCACATGACTTACGCTAAATGACATACACACTAAAAGACATACATGAACATTGTTTAATTAGGTTGGCATATAAACTAATCCATTCTGTTATAGTTTTCCTCTCCACTAAGCATGAATATATGTGACTTTATTGCTGGGTAAACTGTGATCTATCTATGAGTGTGTAGGCGAGTGGAAAAAAAGTTAATAAATAAATAGGCTGCTATGCAAATAGCCTGATAGTTCTTTCTTTCTTTCTTTCTTTCTTTCTTTCTTTCTTTCTTTCTTTCTTTCTTTCTTTCTTTCTTTCTTTCTTTCTTTCTTTCTTTCTTTCTTTCTTTCTTTCTTTCTTTCTTTCTTTCTTTCTTTCTTTCTTTCTTTCTTTCTTTCTTTCTTTCTTTCTTTCTTTCTTTCTTTCTTTCTTTCTTTCTTTCTGCTTTAATCGGATAATTAGTGGAACTCCTGGATCATGAGGAAAAGGATTTCTCGATTATGCTCACTTATTAGGGATAGTTGCTAAAAAAATGTCAACCCCATCATCATTTATACTCATTCTCACGTTTTTCCACACCCTGATGTATTGTTCATGGACAACTAGCCAAATGTGATGTTGACCACACACACCAAGGCCAAAAACTAGCTCTCCAATCTAATTCAGTTATTTGTCTGTGTTTGGATTTCCAACTTAATTTCAAAAGCAAACTATTAAAGCTAAAGGTATAGAAATATGACGTCTCTCTCTGTATGTCTGTTCTGTTCTGGAGTTCACTTTTCCTTGTTAATGTTGTTCTTTTGTGTGTGGTTGCTAGGCATTAACACAAGCCGTGTACAGCTGCAGGAGACAGTCCCTCTATATGACTGTTTGCTCTTGGAAAATATTTAAAGTTATATGAGGATGTGATGCATGCATGTGCAGTTTTAGTTTGACAATAAATTGTGCCTTGTTGACTATTGATTGGATTGCAAGAAACATACAGGAAACCAATTGAAGACTGAAATGTGTGTCCCACTGTATGTATTTGTTGTACTATATGCATATCAAGCCATCTGACCAATTTTGTCTGTTTTCACAGGTTTGATTGCCACATCCACTGTGGATCCCACAATGAGCATGCCTCCATCGACAACGACACCAGTTTTATCAAGCACAAATTCAACTAGTGATTCCACAGCTAGCCCAAACGATGCTACCTTTACTGATACTTCAGGTGAGGACACATTCTCTACTTCCAATACAAAACATTAGCTAGTACAATCACTACAATGCAGATGAAGTCATTATATCAGACATTATTAGTATAGCCTATATAAAAAAAAGTTGCTCAAGAAATATTCTCGCTAATATATTGCTGCTTCAGAAGCAAAGCAGCACTAGCAATGTTTCTTGAAACAAGTGATTAAAACGATTTAGTAAATGGGCTTTAAGCTTTTTAGTGGAGCAGCTAAATAAATATTAGCACACTTTATTTGATATAACCTTTAGGCATGACAAAATAGGTCATGGTTATTTATCTACAGCTTGATGAATACAGTTATACACATTTTAGCATTGAATGTTTAGATTCAGTAACTTAAAGGAGTTGTTCACTTTTAAAAAAACCTTTGGCTGATAATTTACTCACCCCCATGTCATTCAAGATGTCCACATCTTTCTTTCTTCAGTTGAAAAGAAATTAAGGTTTTTGATGAAAACATTCCAGGATTTTTCTCCATACAATGGACTTCATTGGGAACCAAATGATTCAAGGTCCAAATGAGAGTTTCAGTGCAGCTTCAAAGGCCATTAAACAACACCAGACGATGAATAAGAGTCTTATCAAGCGAAACGATCGCTCATTTAAAAAAAAACAAAAATAAAGTTTACGTTTTATAAGCTCAAATGCTTGCCTTGCTGTGTTCTGTGATGCCTTGCTCTGTTCGTGACTCTCCTGTTCGAACTTGTTCATCAAAATGAACAAATCTCTTTTCGAGTCATTTGGTTCATTCAATGAACAAAATGAACGAATTGATTCGGAAAAAGATTAGTTCATTTTGATGAACGAGCTCGAACAGGAGAGTCACGAACGTGCATCACAGAACAGAGCAAGGCGAGCATTTGAGCTTATAAAACTTAAACTTATAAATGATTGATCGTTTCGCTAGATAAGACCCTTGTTCATCGTCTGGTGTCGTTTAAAGCCCTTTGAAGCTGCACTGAAAGTGTCTTTTGGACCTTGAACCGTTTGGTTCCCACTGAAGTCCATTATATGGAGAAAAATCCTGGAATGTTTTCATCAAAAACCTTCATTTCTTTTCGACTGAAGAAAGAAAGACGTGGACATCTTGGATGACATGGCAAAAGGTTTTTTTTTAAAGTGAACAACTCCTTTAAGTTTCTGAATCTAAACATTCAATGCTAAAATGTGTATAACTGTGTTCATCAAGCTGTAGATAAATAACAATGACCTATTTTGTCACGCCTAAAGCTTATATCAAATAAAGTGTGCTAATATTTATTTGTGGCTATAACTAATAGCTGCTCCACTAAAAAGCTTAAAGCCCATTTGCTAAAGTAAAGTATCAGCAAAACATTTTTAAAAGTGAACTACTCTTTTAATGAGTAAAATATGTTTTTATACACAGTTGAAATAAACTGTATTAAACTGATTCTTATTAGCCTTTTTAAAAATCTTTCTCAAAGAAATTAAAATAGGCAATAAGCATAAAATGAGGATAAAGAGAAATTCTAGTGAACATCTTATATCTAATCTAAAAAATCTGAAAAGGAAGAACTGACTCAAAAAACTATTGTCACAAATGACTGACATTGCTTGTTCAGTCTGGTTTAGATAAGATTCTTAAAGGGGTCATGAACTGGCTTTTAAAATTTTATTATATTGTTGTCTGAGGTCAACTTATGACGTTCGCTTGTTTTTTACATTCAAAAAAATCAAAATGAATAATTAATAGGCTATTTTGTACCCAAGTTGTGAGCCTATCTGAAAAACGGTCGGTTTTTATGGGCGTCTCGCACTGAAGACTTGTAAGTAAACGCCCACTGCTGTGAGTGGAGAACAGTTTTGCATATTATAATGAGTTTCAACTCGCCCGTCGGGAAATCATTTTGAAAACGTCCAATGTGGTAAAATGGCAACCGGAATGATTCGCCCATACATGTTCGACCCAGAGTCCGTGTGTTGCACAATTCCTGTCAGATCCAATATAGACGGCACAGCACCGTTCTTTTCTCTTAATCGTCTGTAAATCCAGTCTTGTTTACAAAACAATCCTCAGTGAAATGAAGCGAACAGACGACAAAGTTTTACCTCATCAGCTGGAATGTCATTAAAAATAAAGTTATCCATGCAGTCTTATTGGAATCCAGAGGAAGCTTATGCGGCGACTGTCGTCTTTCATAACCAGGCACTGCACAGTATTCTGTTTTGCTCGGTAGCGATCCAGTTTGTCATCACGAGGTAGTCATGTATGTTCCTTAGCTATGCGTGTCATGCGCGAATCGGTGGGCGGGGCTAAACCGGCCGTGTTGAAGCAGGCGTTGATCTTCTTATGCGGGGGTGGGATTTTATCCTCTTTGTCGTCATAGTTCCCCTCTTTTAAAAATGAGTCGTTTGCTGAGGCTGGTGTCAATAAAAGTTTTTATTGGACTAACCATGACGTTTTCAGTTTTTAAACTTACAGGATATTTTTTATAATATGATGACCTCTTAGAAGCTCAAGGAAAATTTGATTTCTCAGTTCATCACCCCTTTAAAACTTTATGCGTGATTACATGTGATTATGTCTTTGTGGCCATCAGCGGAGGTAACAAGCGTTCCATCTGGGAATACAACTACACAATTTCCAATCAATGCTACAACTCCACTGCTGTCAACGGATGGGGGTAATGTCACATCTCCACCTTTATCTACTCAAGGCAACGTAACAATTTCCTCCACATCTGCACCAGAAAATGCTACAAGTTCATCAGCGAGTACATCAGGAAATACCATAACTTCACTTGTAACTACGGCATCCAACAGCACAAGTCCACTTGTACCTACACTGGGGAATGCAACAAACCATCCTGTAACTGCACCAGGCAACACCACAACTACTCCTTCACCTGATCCAGGAAACACCACAACTTTTCCTTCACCTTATCCAGGCAACACCACAACTACTCCTTCACCTTATCCAGGCAACAGCACAAATTTACCTTCACCTGATCCAGGAAACACCACAACTACTCCTTCACCTGATCCAGGAAACACCACAACTACTCCTTCACCTGATCCAGGAAACACCACAACTTTTCCTTCACCTTATCCAGGCAACACCACAACTACTCCTTCACCTGATCCAGGAAACACCACAACTACTCCTTCACCTGATCCAGGAAACACCACAACTTTTCCTTCACCTTATCCAGGCAACACCACAACTACTCCTTCACCTGATCCAGGAAACACCACAACTACTCCTTCACCTGATCCAGGAAACACCACAACTACTCCTTCACCTGATCCAGGAAACACCACAACTTTTCCTTCACCTTATCCAGGCAACACCACAACTACTCCTTCACCTTATCCAGGAAACACCACAACTACTCCTTCACCTGATCCAGGAAACACCACAACTTTACCTTCACCTGATCCAGGCAACAGCACAACTACTCCTTCACCTGATCCAGGCAACAGCACAACTACTCCTTCACCTGATCCAGGCAACAGCACAACTCTACCCCAGACTACAAGAGGCAATTACACTACTCCTCCCATTACCACACCAGGCAACAGCACAGTTTCAACAATTACAACACCAAGCAATGTCACAATTACAGCACAAACTACATCAGGTAATGCTACAACAGGAAACGATACCACCTCACCCACCACTAATCCAGTAAATGCTACAACACCACCCCTAACTACTCAAGGGAACAATGAAACAGTAAATGCTACCACTCCACCCATGACTACGCCAGGGGATAATGCAACAGTAAACTTTACCACACCACCCATGACTACACCGGGGGATAATGTAACAGTAAACTTTACCACACCACCCATGACTACGCCAGGGGATAATGTAACAGTAAACTTTACCACACCACCCATGACTACACCAGGGGATAATGTAACAGTAAACTTTACCACACCACCCATGACTACACCAGGGGATAATGCAACAGTTGACTTTACCACACCACCCATGACTACACCAGGGGATAATGTAACAGTAAACTTTACCACACCACCCATGACTACGCCAGGGGATAATGTAACAGTAAACTTTACCACACCACCCATGACTACACCAGGGGATAATGTAACAGTAAACTTTACCACACCACCCATGACTACACCAGGGGATAATGTAACAGTAAACGTTACCACACCACCCATGACTACACCAGGGGATAATGTAACAGTAAACTTTACCACACCACCCATGACTACGCCAGGGGATAATGTAACAGTCAACTTTACCACACCACCCATGACTACACCGGGGATAATGTAACAGTAAACTTTACCACACCACCCATGACTACACCAGGGGATAATGTAACAGTAAACTTTACCACACCACCCATGACTACACCAGGGGATAATGCAACAGTAAACTTTACCACACCACCCATGACTACGCCAGGGGATAATGTAACAGTAAACTTTACCACACCACCCATGACTACACCAGGGGATAATGCAACAGTTGACTTTACCACACCACCCATGACTACACCAGGGGATAATGTAACAGTAAACTTTACCACACCACCCATGACTACGCCAGGGGATAATGTAACAGTAAACTTTACCACACCACCCATGACTACACCAGGGGATAATGTAACAGTAAACTTTACCACACCACCCATGACTACACCAGGGGATAATGTAACAGTAAACTTTACCACACCACCCATGACTACACCAGGGGATAATGTAACAGTAAACTTTACCACACCACCCATGACTACGCCAGGGGATAATGTAACAGTCAACTTTACCACACCACCCATGACTACACCAGGGGATAATGTAACAGTAAACTTTACCACACCACCCATGACTACACCAGGGGATAATGTAACAGTAAACTTTACCACACCACCCATGACTACGCCAGGGGATAATGTAACAGTAAACTTTACCACACCACCCATGACTATGCCAGGGGATAATGTAACAGTAAACTTTACCACACCACCCATGACTACGCCAGGGGATAATGTAACAGTAAACTTTACCACACCACCCATGACTACACCAGGGGATAATGTAACAGTAAACTTTACCACACCACCCATGACTACACCGGGGGATAATGTAACAGTAAACTTTACCACACCACCCATTACTACACCAGGGGATAATGTAACAGTAAACTTTACCACACCACCCATGACTACACCAGGGGATAATGCAACAGCAAACTTTACCACACCACCCATGACTACACCAGGGGATAATGTAACAGTAAACTTTACCACACCACCCATGACTACACCAGGGGATAATGCAACAGTTGACTTTACCACACCACCCATGACTACACCAGGGGATAATGTAACAGTAAACTTTACCACACCACCCATGACTACGCCAGGGGATAATGTAACAGTAAACTTTACCACACCACCCATGACTACACCAGGGGATAATGTAACAGTAAACTTTACCACACCACCCATGACTACACCAGGGGATAATGTAACAGTAAACTTTACCACACCACCCATGACTACACCAGGGGATAATGTAACAGTAAACTTTACCACACCACCCATGACTACGCCAGGGGATAATGTAACAGTCAACTTTACCACACCACCCATGACTACACCAGGGGATAATGTAACAGTAAACTTTACCACACCACCCATGACTACACCAGGGGATAATGTAACAGTAAACTTTACCACACCACCCATGACTACGCCAGGGGATAATGTAACAGTAAACTTTACCACACCACCCATGACTATGCCAGGGGATAATGTAACAGTAAACTTTACCACACCACCCATGACTACGCCAGGGGATAATGTAACAGTAAACTTTACCACACCACCCATGACTACACCAGGGGATAATGCAACAGTAAACTTTACCACACCACTCATGACTACACCAGGGGATAATGTAACAGTAAACTTTACCACACCACCCATGACTACACCGGGGGATAATGTAACAGTAAACTTTACCACACCACCCATTACTACACCAGGGGATAATGTAACAGTAAACTTTACCACACCACCCATGACTACACCAGGGGATAATGCAACAGCAAACTTTACCACACCACTCATGACTACGCCAGGGGACAATGTAACAGTAAACTTTACCACACCACCCATGACTACGCCAGGAGATAATGCAACAGTAAACTTTACCACACCACTCATGACTACACCGGGGATAATGCAACAGTAAATTTTACCACACCACCCATGACTACACCGGGGGATAATGCAACAGTAAACTTTACCACACCACTCATGACTACACCAGGGGATAATGCAACAGTAAACTTTACCACACCACCCATGACTACACCGGGGGATAATGCAACAGTAAACTTTACCACACCACCCATGACTACACCAGGGGACAATGTAACAGTAAACTTTACCACACCACCCATGACTACACCGGGGATAATGCAACAGTAAACTTTACCACACCACCCATGACTACACCAGGGGACAATGTAACAGTAAACTTTACCACACCACCCATGACTACACCGGGGGATAATGCAACAGTAAACTTTACCACACCACTCATGACTACACCAGGGGATAATGCAACAGCAAACTTTACCACACCACCCATGACTACACCAGGGGATAATGTAACAGCAAACTTTACCACACCACTCATGACTACATCAGGGAACAATGCAACAGTAAACTTTACCACACCACCCATGACTACACCGGGGAATAATGCCACAGTCAACTTTACCACACCACTCATGACTACACCGGGGGATAATGCAACAGTAAACTTTACCACACCACTCATGACTACGCCAGGGAACAATGCAACAGTAAACTTTACCACACCACCCATGACTACACCGGGGAATAATGCCACAGTCAACTTTACCACACCACTCATGACTACACCGGGGATAATGCAACAGTAAACTTTACCACACCACCCATGACTACACCGGGGGATAATGTAACAGTAAACTTTACCACACCACCCATGACTACACCGGGGAACAATGTAACAGTAAACTTTACCACACCACTCATGACTACACCAGAGAATAATGCAACAGTAAACTTTACCACACCACCCATGACTACACCGGGGAACAATGTAACAGTAAACTTTACCACACCACTCATGACTACACCAGAGAATAATGTAACAGTAAACTTTACCACACCACTCATGACTACACCAGAGAATAATGTAACAGTAAACTTTACCACACCACCCATGACTACACCAGGGGATAATGCAACAGTAAACTTTACCACACCACCCATGACTACACCAGGTAACAATGAAACAGTAAATGCTACGACTCCACCCATGACTACACCAGGGAATAATGCCACAATAAACTTTACCACACCACCCATAACTACACCTGGAAACACTACATTAGGGAATTCCACCACACCACCTCAATCTACAACAGGAAATGCTACCACACCACCAATAACCAACTCAACGACTGGACCAATCGTATCTACTACTAACCCAACTAACACCACCACCACACCAGGTGTGTTTGAATGAATGTGTTGTGTGATTGTGGATTACAGTGTAATGTCCATGCATTGTAAATCTTCAGAAATGCCCAATACTTTCTCCTTTTGTTCTTTAAGCTACCTGTCCTTCAGTGCCCTGCCCACCACTCAGTGTTTGTGTGAACTCCATCTGTCAGTGTCTGACAGGAACTTTTCCTTTAAATAATGCCTGTGTGGAAAGTGAGTATCTGTCTGATGCCAATTTCTGTCAATCACTTATAAACTTTCTTACACAGGGCCATGAGACTTTACAGAAAGTCATTCAGTCTTTTAGTTTGTATAATAAGACTCATGTGATTATAGTGATTATTAAGAGCAATCTTTATTTATCACCCTCACTCTCTCTTATTCCCAGCTAAATCGTTCCCTAGTTCACTAAAGGTGAACCGCACATTTGTACCTGCAATGCATGATCCCAAAACACCTGAATTCCACAAAGTTGCTAATGAGATCCTTATTGCGGTATGTCACAAACTTACATTACAATCAGGTGTTTTAGCTTTAACATTTCAGTTATTACTTGCAAAGATGTATTTCTTCACACTAAAACTGTGCAGTTTATGAAGTCTGTTTGTATAACTATTAAGTAAGAAGGCTTGGAATAAAATTATTAATCTAATAACAATTAAACTAATTAATACAAATTTGGATGACATTTTTGATCATAAATGCAGTGCATTTTGTTATTATACATCTTATAGAATTTTAGAGTCATTTTTAGAGAAATATAGAATCATATTTATTTATCATTTCACTATATTCTCTATATAAGTTAAGGTATATCCGTATATTGCGTTGGCAGTAAAGTATTAGTCATGCCAATAAATGTTGACTGTTAACATGACTGTTATAGTATAAGTCATGCCAATAAAGCTTTATTGAACTTGGGACTGGCAAAGTAAATACTTCCATATCCTGGATCAATATCCTTCAGTTTCAGTGAGTCTAAATTCATTATTCTTTCTTCCCTTTCACCATAGGTAAATGCAATTCTCCGTAACCAGCCAAACTATATTAACAGCACAGTCCTTAGGTTGACGTGAGTATCAACAGTTCTTAAACAAAGCTCTTCTCTTCTGTATGATTTTTGCCAATTACTAATCTCGGTGTAAATATGTTCAGGCCTGGCAGTATAGTGGCTTCTGTAAACAGTTATTTTGAGCCCAATTCTCCAGTCACCCAGGAATCGATTACATCGGCCATTAGTACTGGTATACAAAATGCAACGACCTGTGGAATGACAAACTGTGGCATTCTTGCTGGTGCTCAATACAATGGTGAGTCTTGAAAAGATTTAGCATTTAAGTTTCGCTGTATGAACAGAGTGAAACATGTTTTAATGTCCACATAATAAATGATTACAATACAGTATATTGGTTACATAAATATACAATATTTGGTTTCACATACTTTTTTTACTTTTTCAAACAATTTAGCATTATAAATCATTCTTTAAATACAATACATCCTTTATATCTACATTTCTTGACATTAATTCTAAACACATTAATTGATGTTTAGGCAACAAATTCACCTTCACAGTGTTATTATCAAAAACATGTAGTCTTTTTTATGAAAATTTCCACAAAGATTGAAAAACAGCTTCTCTTTGCAGTTGTATTACAGTGAATGGCAAATATCGTTCCTCTAATAGGAACCCTTTTTTTTCTTAAGTTTGATGTAATTTTAGTTGAAATTACTTAAAGAACCATGTTGTACTTTAAATTTTAAGGCAGCATTTTATGTTTATGTTTGGTTATGTTTGTTTTGTGGTATTCATATGAAATGAAACTACATGAAATTAAAAGAGTCTATGAAATATTTATACTTTAAAAATGCATATTGCATCGCAGGACCATTTAAAATTAACCGGTGAAGGCAAACATGCTTTAAAACTTAAAGGACCTTAGATACACACTTCTCTCTAAACAACTATACTCTCTTTCTCTCTCACTGTCTGTCTCTTGTTAGTTAGCAATCTGTGCGAGCAAGAACTTTCTCCGTGTGATGTGGACACTACAGAGTGTAAGGCCAAAGATGGGATCGCTCTCTGTACCTGCAAACCTGGCTATGTACCCAGTCTTTACCAGGTCAAAAGCTGTAGAGGTGAGTGTGTCTTTAGCACTCCCTTTCTGTGTGGAAAAAAAAACAAAAACAAAAACATGGGCTTCCATATTGTGTGTGGATATCATAATAATCGGTGACCTTTGATTTTGACATGGATTTATCCATGCTAACAGACACATTAATCTTGGTCTGTTAAGATCAGACTTCAGAATGTACATTACACTGACCATTTTTTTGGTTACACTTTATTTCGATAGTCACTTTAGACGTTCTACTAATTATAAGTAACTTTTCAACTACATGTCAACTAACTCTCATTAGAGTATTAGTTTATTATAGTAGACTGTCAATATACTGTTAGGTTAGGGTTAGGTGTTTGGCTTTGAGTTAGGAGAATAAGTTTACTTATAGTCAGTTGAATGGCTGTTGTGGGACCAACAAAATAAAGTGTTAGCAGATATTAAGCAGACAGTCTACTAATACTCTAATGACAGTTAGGTGACATGTAGTTGAAAAGTTACTTATAAGTAGAATGTCTAAAGTGGACTATCAAAATAAAGTGTTACCATTTTTTATTTATTTTTATTTCTATACATTACATACAATAAAATCCCAATGTAAGAACAACAGTCTTTTATTATTGAAGTGTCATGTTCAAACACAAAACCAACTATTTACGTTCTAATCTTTTCACAGTTTGTCCAAGTGGCTACAAAGCACAGGGATCTGATTGTGTTCAGTGAGTACCATTTCATTTCTTTGCTCTGAATATACACACCTAAGCAACACTTTGTTTAAGAAAAAATACCGCAAAGGTGATGGTTCAGAAATACTAATTGTCTTCCTTGTTCTTATGTGCTGTTAGGGATGTTTTCATCCACTATGGGGTATTTTTGAGTCTTAATCTGGCCATAACTTGCACCATGTTTCAGCATATGGAATGATTTTTGGTGAAATCTTATTTTGACACATATTTTATGAAAATGCTTTGGAAATTTTCACTGCACTGTCGCCAAATTCACTACCCTTTTGTTATGTTCGAGGCTGAAAACAGCCACTACTTTAAACTGCTTAAAAATGTATCAGATACATATTTCTTTCAAATTTTATTGCATAAATGTATTAATCAACCTGAGTCCTGATCAAAACTACTAAATGTTTAAGAAAAATCAGTATTTTAACTCTTTAATAACCAAATTCATAACTGATATCACTGATTTTGGGGGAAAACACAAAATGACTTTTTTTCAATATAAAATGTGATTGTGGACTGGACTTTTTTTTTGACCTTTTATCACAGTCTTGGACATGTCAAAGATTAGAAACAACTCTCGTTTTGATGCATTGTTAGTTTTTGTACAGCATCAGAAACTACTGCCCTCTTGTGTCGTGGCAATATTGCTACAAGCAGATGTCTGTTGATAAGTTTCAACATTTATTTCCCTTTTTTTTAACAGATGTTCATTTGGCTATTCTGGTTTCAACTGTAATGACTGTAAGATATTATTATTACAATATTTCTTGTTTTTTTAACCATCAAAGCAATAGTCTTTTTAAGTTACACCAATACATTGATCAGCTTGTTTACTGTGCTAAATTATAGATTTTGCATGTATATTTGTGTCTAATGACCTTTGTCTCTCTGCGTAGCCTCTTTGTTAGCCCTAGTGGTGGTGGCGTGTGTGTTAGGGGGACTTCTGCTCATTGTAATTCTGGCTGTTCTCATCTACATCTGTGTGACTCATAGGTGAGTGTTTATGAGAGGTCAGGGAGAAGTGCATTTGAATCTCACTTCTACGGTGTCTTATGCTTAGGTATGGATATACATTTCTCACTTGTTGACATTTTTGTGTGTGCATCGCTTATTTCTTATCAGGAAAAGGTCAGACGACAATCATTTCAGCAGCCCGTATGCTGCTGAAGAATTTCGGGCCACATGGCCCTCTCAGGATATCACCCATATTCCTCGTGTCACTCTCACATCTAGTTCCAGTAATGATGTCTTTGGCAACAACCTGGAGATGGTTGAAGGGCCAGGCAAAAAAGGCCACACTAATGGATTGGTGAGTACCTCCTTCCAGTCACTTCACAAATAAGTTGTCATTTAAGCAGAAAAGTTACACAGATATTTAACTTACAGTGGGTTTCGTACCGATTCAACGACAAGCGTATGTGTGGACTTTTAAAATAAAACAATATATCGCTGTAGAATAAAATAAATAATTTGGATATTTTTTGTTTGGTAACACTTTACAATAAGCTTCATTAGTTAACATTAGTTAATGTATTTTAACTAACATGAACTAACCATGAGCAATACATTTGTAACTGTATTTGTCCATCATTCTTACTGAATTTTTAGGGTAGTGTATATTCATATACATTGCTTATTACTGTACCTCTTTTTAATAATTGTAGAAATGAACCCACTGTAAGTTACAGTTCCCTCCAATTCTTCCATTAACCCTGCATGTAACCTGATTTAATCTAACAATAGTGTCACCACACCACTAACCAATACTAAATATATTGTTAAATTAGATCCAAGCCTATTTCTAAATCTTTACATGCCTGCCTTCCTGAACTCCACTAACATTAATCAAAATATTACATTATCATACTTTTTCACAAATGTATTACTTGGCTGAATGACTGAAGTCCATTATGAGCAGATGCAGTCCTAACCAGGCCACACATAAAGAGGGTCTAGTGCATTAGTGCCTTTGCAGTGAAAGGAATTGAAAGCTAACAGTAGTACAAACTCACATATTTCATCATTTTCATTTTTGGAATGAAAATATTATCATAACAGATGTACAAGTTTCATTATCATTTAGCTCTTAAACAAACCTCTTTGTGTGTGTTTGTGCTCGTATTTGTGGTTGCTGTGCTGTGTGTGTATGTGGTGTTCCGTATGGACTTGATACTCTGCCTCACTCCAAACACTATGACTGTAGAAGATTAGAGGAAAGGTAAGTCACCAATGGCCTGTTAAAGTGTGTAATGGTTCGTCGCCAGGGACTGTAAAAGGCAAAAAGGCTTCGCTTGTACATATATGAATGCACAACATGAACATAATTCCTGTAGTCTTGCCTTGAAAACGGATGTCACGTAATTGAACGGCTTAATTTGGAGGCTGTAGGAATGGAATGGACAGTTCAAATAGCCAATCATGTATTTTTTTACTCTACATGCAAAATTCAGCTGGACCAGCCTGAAAAGTACAATATTTGTGAATGTTACTTGTATGGAGCCCCTAAAGGGACATAAGTGGTGGAAAAAATTTGCGAGAGAACCCAAAAGTTTTGCTAAAGAATGCAAAGTTTTGTTTTTTCCTCCCATCCCATATTTTTTCCACCACCATGTTGCTTTAGGGGCTCCATAGATTTGAGCTTAAGAAGTACAAAATATGATACGATTGTTGTCAAATTTTATTACTAATTTGAAATGAAGAGTTCAGATGCAAAAAAGCCATCTGAAATATTCTTCTAGAATGATCATTTTTATCAATCTCATATATTTACGTTCTGTAATTTCACTTAAATGACAATGATAATTACCTATTAATTCTCATTTAAGTGAAATTACTGAACTTAAATATACGATCTTGATAAAAATAATTATTATAGAAGACACTTAGACGAGGCTTTTGCATCTGAACTCTACAAATATACTACCATTCAAAATTTGGGCTCATTAAGATTATAAAGATAAACGAATACTGTTTATTAAGAACGCATTCAACTTACTGTAAAAATTAGTTTCTAATATTTTGTCTAAATTTCTAATTTAACTGTCTAAATTTCTATTATGTCTAAATTTCTAATTTAACAAAAGATTCAATAAATACTGTTCTTTCAAACTATCTGTTCATTACACTGTAAAAATGAATATGCTTTATCTAATCAATAAAATTGTGGCAACAGATTACAAGCAATATTATTTATTCAATTGAACAAATTAGAATTGAGTAATAGTTAATCAAATTAACATTCCAATTAATTCTAATTTGTACAATTTAATTAATAATATTGCTTGTAATATGTTACCACAATTTTATTGATTAGATAAAGCATTTTTACTGATTATACTAAGAAGAAATGTTTCTTGAGCAATGTTATGATGCAGAACATTCAGGAATAAAGTAGGCCTACATTAAAATGTATTAAAAGAAAACACTTATTTTAAATTGTATTAATATTTCTCTATAATTCTGTTTTTATTGCTTTTTTGATTAAATGCAGCCTTGGTGAGCAGAAGAGACTTCTTTGAAAAACATTTTGAAAAAATACAGAGCCCCAATTAATTTTGAACAGTAGTGTATGCTATTGAAATGTAATAAATTAATATATTTTTATCTGACGTAAATGATCTGATTTAACTAAATGAAGAGTTTGGTTCCAAAACGCGATAAACGCCATTTTTAAAAAAAAATGAGTTACTGCAAAAATCGGACTTTTCAATACCGACCAGATACAAAACAATGTAAAACGGGATATCCGCCGTGTTATTATGTAATGTTTTCTCCCTTTCTTTCCAAACCGCGACAAACGCCAGTCTCCCTTTTCTGCAAAATGCCACATATCCGCTAAACCAATCACAACGCACCATTCCACGCAATGTAAACAGTAACGGCAGTGCTTTAACTAACCGGCTTCCTAGGTTTTCTCTATTTTGTCCTTTCGATCAACAAACAAACAAAAAAAATGAATAATTTTGACAGCATTGGTGAACCTGCGGAGGGTAAGGCATCCTGCATGGGTAAACGTGACATCGAAATCGAATCATTTACGTGAGGAAGAAGATGGACTCGGGAGGAGGAAATGCCGGCTGTTGCTTGTTCTCACACGACAGCATCAAACTTCTGTCACGCTGACACACTGACCCCCAGAGGATCTTTTGGAAAACTTTTAGTTGTTTTATTCAAAGTCAACGAAAACCGAGCAGGACCAAGCCAGTTTACAGCTGATCGCCGTCAAAAAAGTTCAGCGGCGACGTCCCAAGGTTGACAACAGCGATATGCATAACGTTAGATCATGCTTAATAAATCATAATTCATGATGATGTGCTCGTAGTTAATGTTTTAATTAAGGTTTTGTTCATCCATGAAGTCATGAATGAAAAACGTTGAACTGTTAAAAAAAAACGTTGATAGTTCCTGATGATATTAATATGAATTAATGCATAATTCATTTATCCATGAATTCATGATAATTCATGACATGAACCCTTAAAGTGTTACCGAATATTGTTATATTAAAGCAATGGATTTATAGTATGCACAAGAAATTCAATGTGTATAAAATTTTATTTTGATTAATTGCATTTTGAAAAAAAAAAAATTATTGGATTTATTGCATTTTGGGGAAAAAACGATCTGTTTTTATAATAAATCTTTGGAAATCAAAACCTGGATTTCATTTTTTATTGTTATTATAACCTACAAATGCTATGTGAAAATTTGAAACCGAAAATAGTGGTTTTCATCTTCCCATTTTCTTGCTAAAGAAAACACAGTTTTACTCAAATTCATCAAAATGGATTTATAGCGTTTTGGAACCAAACTCTTCAAATTATCTGATGTGCCTTAAATAGACTTTAGTGTCCAAGTTCTTTTAAGTAAAGGAATATTCTGGATTAAATACAACTTAAAGGTTAAGTGTGTAAATTCTTAATCACTACCATAACCAAAATAATGATTGCACGACCAACATCAGTTATGACTTAAACTTTATTTAACTTGAAAGGAATATTCCTTTACTCTACTTTTTTATTTCTTCTTTTTGCTGTGACATCGCCGCTCACCGCCACTATGTACATTCTCATTCTGAGGTGAATTGGCATTACATTCTAGATGAGATCTCGATTTTGGTCAACTGTTTGCATGCCATTTTAAGCTTTGCATGAATTTTTTAAGCAGGTAATTTTGATTTCCCTGCATGAGGAGATGGGCTGATGGGTTGTGTTTAGCTGTACGTGGCTTATATGAACTCATTTCTTCTGCAGAAGGGCTCGTATGACCTCACCGCAGATGACATGAGGACCTTTAAGGACCCAAACCCCACACGGTACTCTTATCTGGTGGGTCATGAAAATCCATACTTCATACAAGGAGATGAGAAGAGATGAGGAATTAAGCAAGGAAAGCCAACGAAAAGTAAGAAGACAAAGAAAGAGTGCAATAACAACATGAATTATAAAAAGGCCTTGGATCAAAATGGTTCTGGAAATTTAACGCTGTCAAAGCCATACAGCTGATCACAGGCTGAAGGTACACACACAAATGGCTTTTGAGAGATACATTGTTTTTAACATTTTACTGTTTTTATTGAAATTCCCTTTCACCCAGGATAAAATGCTCACTTCCTACAAGTGCATTGATGATTGGGTTTCTTTTACCACAAAGCTTGACTGGTCTTAATGAGAGATGAACATTGAACATCCACGCATCTGTATTTTTTGTCATTTCTTGTTTTGTCTGCACATTTTATATCATATTCATTGCTTTGTTGTCTGTCATGCATGTTACTGTGGTTTTCAACTCAAAATACTAAAAGCATGTAATTTTGAACCACATTTTGACACATTATGTGTTTCATTTGTGGAAGAAATAAGGGGCAGCATATACAGTGTAATCCAGTAGATCTGGATCTAATCTGTATTCTGATACAGTAATTGCATTTTGTAGGAGAGAGCATGTCATGTTTGTTTGTGTTTTAAATTATGATGAATTTTTAGTTGATATCTTCTCCGAAGCATTAATTTATTTTATGCCAGAACAATGCATGCCACCAGAAATTGATCTCTGTGCCTGACTGTAATGTTGTCTTTTGAATAGGAGACTTATGCATTGAAGAGGATTTCTTAACCATGTTTCCTCTGTAGTTGTGCCAAAAATCATATTTATTTAAATCAGAACATGACATTGTTGTTTTTACTCAACCATCTGTTTGCTTCATATATATATATATACTTATTTATGTGTCACTGGGAGATTTTATATCTGTATATAAGGCTTTTGTAAGACAAAGTGATTCTTTTTGTTCTGTATATTGAAAGAAAATAAATTAATATAAAAATATAGTTATCTAATATTTGTCCAGCTGTCCTTGTATATGTTTCCACACATGCATACACACATTCACATATGTATTTCTTTTGACTTTCTTTTTTCATTTGACTTCTATTTTGTTAAGACATTTAATATTGGTGTTTGACATGACAGAAGAATGACACTGTCTACTGCTTTTAATTCACTTTTACAGTACTAAATCCTTCCTAAGTTTTCCCCCTTTTGAATGGATGGTGATACAATTGAAAGACTAATGCATTTAGGTGTTCAGTTACATCTAATTTCTTTAATAGCATTTGTTACCGTTACCGTGACGTTGACGTGACAACGTAATTGGGATCACTTCAGGGAGCCCAGCCCGTTCCCAAAGCGTCATATACTGACGCTTTTGCCAATGCGTAGACAGTGTCAATATGAGATGCAGATATATATGGGGCAGAAGGCGCCTCCTAGTGGTCTAACCCTAACCCTGCCCCAGACCTAAACCTACCATGGCTAAAGGTGCCATGTGCGTTGGATGTCTTCGTATCGGCAAAAGCGTTATATATGACGCCTTGGGATGATGAGAATGTGTTGTGGAGCCCTATCAACTTCGAGTGTCTACAGAATGAGCCAATAAATGTTGGCGTGCGTGAGAAGGCGTGGCCCCGTGGGTATAAACAGGAAGGAGGCGCACGCACTTTTTGTCTTTCGCTTCAGAGCCGGGCTTTCGTTTTGAATCTTGAGTTTCTGCTGACTGCTGCATCGTTGCAGACTGCTTAAAAGAAATACTGTTCCAATGCAGTGAAGGAGCGATCAGCGGTGGCCGCGAGCATTACAGCTCACAACTGCTGTTTTCACTGTGTTGCTTTTGTGTGTGTGTTTGTCTGTATTTGCGGGAATATGACTATTACAGCACTGATATAGAGACTTGCTTACCTCAAGGGAGGTGCAGTACCCTCGCCTTTGCCCTGATCTAGCTTCTATTCTGGACCTCAGAATGGTCGGGTGTGCATGGTCAGAGTGATCTGAGGATTACCGTGAGGGCTTTCCGGCCAAGGCAATCTCTGTGGGTCCATCACACCTCACAAGTGCTGCTGCCATTGGAGCCTCCAAAGGAAGTTGTGGTAGTTTCTCAACTACCTCAACGACTGGCTTATTCTCGCCCAGTCAAAAGAGCAGTTGTGCGAACACAGGGATATGGTGTTCAGTCACCTCAGCCACCTAGGGCTTTGGGTCAATTGGGATAAGTGCAAACTCACCCACAGGCAGAGGATCTCTTTTCTTGGTATGGAGTTGGACTCGATCAACATGACAGTGTGCCTCACCGAGTGTTGAACTGCGCGAGCATGCTCAGATGCAGAACAGCAGCACCACTGAATCCGTTTCAGAGGCCCCTGGGGCATATGGCATCTGCAGCCAAGGTAACGTCGATTTTTTTCATATAAGGCTGCTCCAACACTGGCTCTTCGATTGAGTCCCGAGATGGGCATGGCAGAGCGGCTCGTGCCGTGTCCAAATAACCCCGTACTTTCGCCAAACTCTTAGCTTGTGGTTGGACCCTTTGTTCCTGTGGGCAGTTGTTCCCCTAGAACAAACGTCCAGGCACTCTGTGGTCACCACGGATGCCCACTGATTTTCAGGCACTTTGGGACCGCACAAATAGATCTGTTTGCCGCACCGGACACGTCTCACTGCCAGTTGTTCTATTCTCTGACCGAGGGAACACTCGGCACGGATGCTTTGGCACACAGCTGGCCCCCAGGCCAAATATGCGTTTTCGCAAATATGCGTTTCCCACAGTGAGCCTTCTTACACAGACCTTGTGCAAGGTCAGGGAGGATGAGGAGCAGGTCTTGTTAGTTGCGCCTTATTGGCCCAACCACACCTGGCTCTTCGAACTAGTGCTCCTCGCAACAGCCCCTCCTTGGCCCATTCCCCTGAGAGAGGACCGCATCCATCATTTCCGCTAGAGACCCCTCTACGAGGTGCCTCTATGCATTGAAGTGGATCATCAGATTCTTGAGGGGGGCGAGGAGACTAAATTCTTCTCGCCTGCTCTGTATACCCTCTTAGATTTGTCTCTGGTCCTTTCGGCTCTTGGAGACCACCATTTGACCCTTTTGCAGTCAGCTGAGTTAAAAATTCTGTCCTGTAAAACTACTCCTGGTTGCTTTGGCCTCCATCAACAGGGTAGGGGATCTGCATGCATTTTCGGTCAACGAATCATGCCTAGAATCCTGCCCGGCTAACTCTCACGTGATCCTGAGACCCTGGCCCGGATACGTGCCCAAGGTTCCTACCACTCCCTTCTGGGACCAGGTGGTGAACTTGCAAGCACTGCTTTCGGAGGAGGCAGACCCAGCCCTGGCTTTTCTCTGTCCCATCCGCGCTCTGCGCCTATACGTGGACTGAACGCAAAGCCTCAGGACCTCAGATCAGCTCTTCATCTGTTACGGAGGCCAGCAGAAGGGAAAGGCTGTCTCTAAGCAGAGGATGGCACAGTGGATAGTGGATGCCATCGCCTTGGTTTACGAAGCCCAAGGCATGCCTTGCCCGCCCGGGTTTAGAGCCCACTCCACTAGGACTGCCACTTCTTCTTGGGCACTGACACAAGGTGCCTCGCTGACAGATATCTGTAGAGCTGTGGGCTGGGTGACACTTAACACGTTCGCAAGGTTTTATTGCCTACGTGTTGAGCCGGTTTCTTCCTGTGTGCTCGTTTCAACCAGCCGTTAACACCGATGTTCCCACCCTAGTGCCGGCTTGCTGCACCACTCCCCTCCATTGAGCGGATACGTGCGCTTTTGGCTCCAGTTGAGTTCCCCACTCACACAGTCAGACATTGTGGAGCGTCCAACGCCAGGCCTAGTGCTCGTATGCTTGTGTAACTTGTGCTAGGCTGGGTTCCATGTGTGGTGATCCCTGCGGTGATTCCATATGAGTATTCTTCCATCATTCCATATGTTGCACTACTCCTACCGGCCAGTCCATATGTGTATTCTCTACATGTTACCTCCCTTCGGGCAGGATGTGGCTTCCACAGTGCCCCCTTCACCTGGAAAGCCACGCTTTCCCAGTGTTATCCAAGAGTTCCACTGTGTGGGTTATAACGGAGCAGCAGTCCAAACTCCCTCCACGCCGGTCTTCCGCCCCAGCCAGTTGGGGGTCTGAGAGTCTTGCGTAGGGTCCTGGATGTGGCAGCAACCAATGTCGGTTTCCATGGGATCCCAATTACGTCGTCAGTTCGACATCACGTCAAATGTGAGTGACTGAAAGGGAACGTCTCGGTTACTGATGTAACCCCTGTTTCCTGAAGGAGGGAACGGGAGATGAGACGTCCTGCCACCACGGTTGCTGACCATCGTTGTACGGCTGTCACAATCTCGGCTCCTGGGGCGGAGCACGTGACGCTAAGTTGATAAGGCTCCCCGAAGTTATCCCAATTACGTGATCACGTTGACGTCATGTCTCCCGTTCCCTCCTTCAGGGAAGGAGGGTTACATCAGTAACCGAGGCGATTTTTTTTTAGATTCAGTACATATTTCAATGCGGTATTACTGTAGAAATGGTGCAAATTTCTGTTTTATTCAATTTCTCTCTCTCTCTCTCTCTCTCTCTCTCTCTCTCTCTCTCTCTCTCTCTCTCTCTCTCTCTCTCTCTCTCTCTCTCTCTCTCTCTCTCTCTCTCTCTCTCTCTCTCTCTCTCTCTCGAACTCCCCGAAGTTATCCCAATTACGTGATCACGTTGACGTCATGTCTCCCGTTCCCTCCTTCAGGGAAGGAGGGTTACATCAGTAACCGAGGCGATTTTTTTTTAGATTCAGTACATATTTCAATGCGGTATTACTGTAGAAATGGTGCAAATTTCTGTTTTATTCAATTTCTCTCTCTCTCTCTCTCTCTCTCTCTCTCTCTCTCTCTCTCTCTCTCTCTCTCTCTCTCTCTCTCTCTCTCTCTCAAATTCAAATTCAAATTCAAATGAGCTTTATTGGCATGACTTATACAGTATTGCCAAAGCATTGGCCATTACATAGGCAATGAACAAATAATCAGTAAATGAATCAGTAAACAAATGCATGAAATACATGCATATATATCAGAAAACAAACAAATAAAATAAATAAATAAATAAACAAATAAACAAACAAAAAAAAAAGTTTTTTTTTTTTTTTTTTTTTTTTTTTTTTAACCAACTTTCAGACTTTAGTTTTGTCCACTGGCTGACTCTCGTAGTTTGTGGCAGGCTGTTACATAGTCTGCTGCTGTTGTGATTGAGCTGGAGTTTTCTCCCAAAATATGAATTAATTTTTCTGAATTTGGCAATGCCATAAAATTTGGATCTAGTTGTTGGAATCTAGAGAAATACTCTGATCTAATGCTGTGATAATGATCACAGTAAATGAGGAAGTGTTCTTCTGTCTCCACCTCTCTCTGAGAGCACAGTGAACACAGTCTCAGCTCTCGCGGCTGCCATCTCTGCCGGTGCCGTCCTCTCTCTACGGCCAGACTGTGGTCACTCAGCCTGTATCTGGTCAGGGTCTTTCTCACTTTATGCTCTTTCACACAGCTCAGGTATTCTGCTGGTTTATAATCTCTTTTGAGGTTTAAATAGAGTTCCATCTTCTTTTGTGATTTAGTAGCATCTTTCCAATAGTTAATGTAATTTAGTTTTTGTAATTGTATAATTTGGTTGGGCCAGCAGACAGTGCTGTGCGGGTCGGGCTGTAGTTTGAGCATCAGCTGTGAGAGTGCGCTCCGGGGCCGGTTCTGTTCCTGACACCGCAGGGCTTCGGCCTGGTATGAGCTCGGGTCGCTGTGCTTTAGATGCTGGTAGAACTTTATAGCTCTTTTCTGGATGCTGATCAACAGGGGGTATTGTCCTAATTCAGCTCTGCATGAGTTGTTTGGTGTCGCTCTGTTCACTTTTAGGATGTTTTTGCAAATTTGGGTATGCAGAGTTTCAATTTCTTCTTTTTCCCATTTTGAGAAATCTTGGGTTTTTAGAGGTCCCCATATCTCGCTGCCATACA